ATGTACCAAAGATTAAGTAAAATCTTCTCATAAGCATCCATGTGAGCCCTTCTGACGTAGTCTAAAGCAATGAGAGACCAAACACACCCAGGACACATGGACAGACAGTGGAGCTGTGCACCTGAGCTGCAGGTGACTGAGACCGAAGGCCCCATCAGAAGCAGTAAGCTCAAAAGCCTTTTGCTCTCATTCCCTACAGGGAACGGGCAGGTTCCGATCCCAAGCTAAAATTCCACCCTGGCTCTCAGGTGCTTCCAGCTTTTCCACAGACATGGAAACCTTTGGTTTCTATTACTTTCAATTTTTCAATAAAAATTGAAGACCTACTTAGAATTTTGTTTGCAGTCTGCAGTTCCAAGACAGACCACAAGAGGGTAGGAGAAGAGGTCTCTGCCCCTGCATGGGAGAGAGCCCATCGCAAAGAGTCTCCTCACGCTCCCCTGACCTCAGCAGTAACAGTTCACTCCGCACTGCAGCAGCAGGAATAGGCAAAAGTAAGAGTATTCCTGTAACTTCTACAAATAGTCAGAAAAAGGATGCAAAATGCATCAGAGCTCAGCCACGCAGAAGTTTCACAGCAGTGTGAAACGGGGAGAGCTGGAGAGCTGGGTTTGGAGCGGTGGGAGAGAAGCCATGGATGAGGAAGGCACACGAAATGCAAGGGGAGGTGAAGTCAGAGATTGACTGGCAGTGGGGAGAAAGGAGCAGCTGAAGTTTTTAAGCATAGGTGTTTCATGCATAGAAGGTTGAATTTTTTACCTTAAATTTTCACTCTTAACTTGGAGATATGAGGAATTCAAGAACCAGAACGTGGCCAAAACCTACAAAGATTTGGTGGGTTTTTTTGTTTGTTTGGGTTTTTTAGAGGTTTTTTTTTTAATTTGGAATGCTCAGTTCAGCATCCTGATTTTTGCACTTTTGGGATCACATTGTGATACACAGCCTGAATTTCATTTTTTTTCACCATAGTATGCTCAAGCAAAGCAGTTTTGAAAAATATCAATGCCTTCTTGCTAGAGAAAACAACACATTCTATTACTGAAATGGAAAGAATAACAAAATGTGGGATACATGGTCGTTGCCATGTGTTGCCTAATGAGTACATGTCAAGCCTGGAAGCCTGGCGAGCATTTGTTGAAGAAAAGCAAAAGATCTACAAGAACTTCTCAAGTCCCATCAAAGGGCTGCGGGCTGGACCTCCTAATACTGTAAAGCTTTTTTCTTAGATCAAGAGTGATATTTTCTTTCCATAAAACCTACAAATTCCACTGTCAGTTCTGAACACTTGTAAAATGATCTTGTCAAAAAACTGTCTGAGCCCACCATTTTCTGCGTTTCTGCATGTTAGTACCTTCCGCAGTTTTTTAGCATTGATGTCTACCCAAATCTCTCCACCTGCTTCATGTTTAGGCTGGAAGATGGTTATCAGTATCATGCATTCTACTAAATCAGCTTCAGAACAAGAAATATTAAGGTGACTCTGCGTAGTCTCCCAAATATGCTGTTAGTTTGTTAACATCATTCTTAACTAACAAGTGCCTGAGATTAAACCAAGTAATATAATGTATTTTTAGTAAGACTGTATTGCAGGAAATTCATCCCTTTCCTGATCTGTGACTTTACCAGGTAGCAGATTATCCGCATTTCCAATAGCATCCCCATTTGCTGTGGTTGGTACCGTTTTCTGATAGTTGCCTCCAGACAGCAGACTTTTGCACATGCAATCCATGCCCCTACCAGCTTCCAATTTCTATTACATCACATTTAGTGAAAGGGACTGCTGCAAAATCTTTCTCAGCATTGCAGCTTCCCAAACAAGCCTCTGCTGTAACAAATTTTGCCAGTGTTCTTACAAAAATAAATTTAACTCAGAAAATACCACAGAAATTGTCTCCCCACCTTACAGGTTTTGGGTTCATTGCGAGCTCTTCTAAACTTTCCCTATGCACACCTATTTAGTGCAGAAACAAATAAGTAAAAATATCTTCTTTCTGAAGAAGGCATAGTTCCAACACTGGTTTAACTGCAGAGACCATAATAGCTTCAGATACCTCCAAAAGGTGATGATGCTGTAGTCAAGGGCTTTTAAAATCATTATAGCTACAGTCTTAATCGTAGTCCTACAGACTTAGCCCTGTATAGCCCTATAAATGTATCCCTAATTGTACTGATCTTTTATAACAAAGCCTGCACATCTGATGACACAGAACTGGCAGTCATAACCTCATCAACTATTAAAACACAAGGGAAAAAAGGGACACATTTTACAAATCACATCCCTTGATCTCTGAAGCACTCCACAAAAAAAATTGTCCCAGATCTAAAATTATTCAGTATCTTCATTAATGGACTGGATTACAGAACAGAATATGCTTATTAAATTTGCAGGCAATACTAAACTGGGAGAGGCTGGGTCGGAATTCAGAGCTTCGCAAATCCATGAGAAGGGTCTGAAAAAAGCAAGATACAAATCTGAAAGCGTAAGTGCAAATTTCTCTGGTAATACTAATTGCAAGTCAGAGAATGATAAAATGGAGCTAGAAACCGCAGGAAAAGATCTAGTGGCTATGACAACTCACAAGCTAGTAATGAGTCAGAGTTATCATTCTACTGCAAAAAGGAGCCCTTAGCAGGGTGTATAAATAGAACCAGCCCTTCTCTCTAAGGAATGTGTAATAAACTTTTTATGGCGCTGCTAGTGCCACAGCTGAGCACTGTGCAGAGTTTTTGCATGGGATCCACCTGGAGAATGCGGGGACAGACGAACAGTGCTCTAGAAAACACAGCCATTGAGGAAGAGCTGATTGATTGACAGGTAAATTTAATCCAGAGCACCACTCCTCACACTGGAGGCAAGAGCCAGCATGCTGGGGCACGCTGCCTGCCCTAGGGTCTGCACCAGGGCCGCAGGGGTCGACAGCGAGAGCCTAGGTGGAGGCAGCACAACACGGCAAAGGAAACAAAGCCTAACTCCCAAGGATGGGGAAGTGGGGGGGGTGTACGCACACATGCAGCAATAAGCAGCAGCAAGGCTTATTCCAGGCTGAGGCGGGGACCTACTGATTTAGAGCAGTGATGGGAAATTGCGTGATATCCCTGAGTGTAAGCGTACACTGCCAAATGCCTTTCATCATCAAAGGTTTTAAAGCCTATTTGTCACAAACGGTTTGAGGCTCCCTCGGAGCTAGGATAGGTGAGCCCTCATTTCAAGGAATCTTTTATTTGCTATTATTCTCTTTCTCAATACTACCCTGCAAGTTCAGTAGCGTGCTTTTCGGCTCCCTTATGGATTGTTACGAAGGCCTCAAACTGCTAGCATGGATCTAGGCAGCACTTCAAAAGAAACAGTTCCCATTTTAATACATTGCAGCTTATAATTACCTTTCATTTTTGTTCTAACAGGCAGATTTCATACTATGTGACAGTGCTAAGAAAAAAGCAGAATGTTCTTCTTTCTCCATAGATAAATTTAGGAGACACAGATGCTTGATAAAAGCTCCAGAATTTCACTGGTGGCATTCAAGTGCTTTGTAATTTGATCCAAAAGAAAAAGAGGCAAGGCTAATCTAAGACAGCTATTGTAGTTATAATGGCCAAATCCTCATTCATCAGTTTAGGACTACACTTTGTTCCTGGAAAACCCATTACAATTTTGCTCATTGTTCAAATACCTTCTGCTTTTTCTTTTTTTGAATTGTAATAACAATACACTAGTGTTCCCTAATGGTAGTTTGTCCATTCCTCTCTATGACCGCACAAAATCCTCATTAGTATCAGAAGTGCTGAGGTCCATAGTCTTTTCTGTACAAACTGGAAAGCTTGCATATCGCTCTTGCATATCATGAATCCTGTGACTGTTGAACTCAACTTAGTAATTTCATGGTTATAAGTCCTCTCTTTCCTACCTACACTGAGCTTAAAAGGGTTTTTATGAATATATCACTTAAGGCTTGTGGCAAATTGTTGCTTCTTTCTTTCTGTTCTGAAGGGTTTGATCGAGCATTTCCCATACTATTCCTTCCTTTCTGTAATTCCTGCATGAAGTCACCACGGAGAGCCCCAACTTCTATACCATCCCCTCAGACAGATTAAATACATTATGCCAGGCATTTGCTCTTTCAGGATGTTCTTCCACCTTTCTTTCGCAACTGTGACTTTTTGTACAGTAACAACTCATGGTCTACTATTTTTAGCGCCCACTAAGACTGTATATTACCTGCAGGACACAATAGTAGTGTTACATTTCTCTCCAGTGAGATAGGGAAAAAAGACATACATACATTTATACATATTTATTGTATCTTTTTAAAAGTAGCATTTGCAGTTACTTCTAAGCATTCACCTCTCTTCTGCTCCAAATGTGCACTTATTGAGAGAAACATCTACTGGCTTCCAAGTCCAAGATTAATACCAATAATAATACATGCCAGAATCAAGCTTCATTGCTTGTTGGCAGCTCCTGTCATGAAAATATTATACAGTAAGAAGAGTGTAGAAAAGGTCTGTGTTAATCATTCAGCAATAAGCTTGGGATGGATTAGCGTGACCATACCATCTTCTCGAGTTGAAGCACAACAACACTTTCCTGAAAGCTGAAGCTCACATAGTAACTTTTCTCCTTTTGCATCCAGTAGGTGGACAAGGCAGTTGTTTTTTCTACAGTAGCTTCTTTAGTTGATAAGATTTCCTCATCATCTATAGGAAAACACTTGCTGTAGACCTTTATATTTAGAAATGTCTTCTCTTCATGTAACAGCAAGAAAATACTTGAAGTCTGGCACGTAGTTAAGAGAACTGGGAACAAACCAAATTTCATCCTCGGATAAACATACGTAACTACTATAGATTTCAATCTAACCCACGCACAAAGTTTTACACATACTACAAATAGAAACAGAAGGTATCAGCAAAAGACTATTCTTACATTGTTTCAAATTAATTTGCAACTATACAATTTTAACTTTAATAGAAAAAGGGAAAGGAATATAACAGAACAGGTATGAAGAGAAATATTTTCCAAACTTTTATTTGTGCACATTCATAAGGTGAAAAAGATAACTTTTACAGCTTCTTTGGTGCCCAATATTCAGCATACAAAAATGTAAAAGACTATTCACAAATAAAACACAAGCTCAAACTAAAAAAAAAAAAAGTTTTAAAGGTAGTGCACATCGTGACAGCTTTGCTTATGAATACACAGAAATTACTGCAAAAATAAATAGAATGTCTTTTTAAAAGCAGCAATTTCATATCTTGTAAACTTCTGTTTTTACAATACAGCACTGTTAAGAGTAAAATCCAAAAGAACTGGAGTTTATACTGTGGCCATGAGCAAGTAAAAGAGTCTGTATTCCTCTGCTATGGTTGGTCCAGTTTTCCTTTTTGCTTTTAGTCCAATGTGCAGCAGTCTTTAAAGGTGCTTGGTTAGGGAACCTAACCATCAAGTGGTGAATTATAAAATTTATTTCCTGCTTTCGAACACGAATGGGTAAATCTGTTCCACAGCACTGGCAACAGCCTTTACGTTTGGCCCTGAGACATATTAAGAGAAAAAAAAAAAAAAGCAGTAGGAAGAGAAAAGTCAGGGAATCAGAAATTAAAACAATAGTATCTTTAAAATAACCTTAGTATTTGCAGCTACCACAACTTTATATTGCAGACAAAAATAATTTCTCCCCCATTACTCCCAACTTAAGAAGGTCTTCCTCTTATCACTTTTACTTACAAGACAAGACTCTCGCGTGAAATCTGCAAGATGTTCTACACTGCTCAATGGCTAGACTAACCTAGTTGTTTCATAACAACTTGGGTGCTTTTTGATTTACTGGCTTAAACAGTCAGCCCAGAGAAGGCAGCAGAGGCTGAGTGGCAGAGGTAAAAGAAATACTTTTACTTATGCTAATCTTCTAGGAATTTCTATTACTCAAAGCCTAGCCACTTTTATCTCTTTTTTTAAAAACCTACCAACAAAAACTACTGCTAAATAATGCTGGATTTAACGCAAGTATGTTTCAAGCAAGATTATTTATGTTTGAAAATTATTACTTTCTAGTCTGGATTTTGCAAATAGCTCCACCGTTGATCTCAGGACAAAACCTGCAAGCCAGGGAACGGTTATTTTCTCAGGATGAAGCATCTGAAGGTTATCTAACATGATCTATGAGCATTTAGAGAAAGAAAAGGAAGAATGAACTAGTAATGCTTTCTAATGGTACTAGACCATTTTATGCAATGAACAATTAAGACTGCAGATAAGTGAGCAGTAACATGCCAGAAGAAATTAATCCTGGATAGAACTTTGGTGATGCAGATAAATGAAAATAGCAATTTCTCACGTGCTTTGATGCCTGTGAACTCAGGGTTTTTTTACATCACTTTAGACTTCAAAAGTTTCTTCCAAGTATAGAGAACTGTTCAAAATGGTTCCCCAAAACCACAAATAAGTTATAAATTACTTAAGTAATTCTGGAAATATTGTTTTAATTTATGTGCTCAGTCAGAAAGAAAATGGAATGGAATAGGATCCTTCCTGTATTTTCAAACTTGTCAAGTTGAGTTAAGCACTCACCTAAAACAAGCCTGGTGAAAGACACCTGCCTTCTGGGCAGATACTGCACCTTCCTTAAATTTGTCTGCCATTATAGAAATGCAAGTTCTAGAGAAAGCCTTCAGAAAGCAAGAGTGTGAGTAGGCAAATAATTCTTGTAAGAAATGCTACTCCCTGTAGGGTTGAAGAGATGTAAAAACTGGATTGTCATTGCAGGGAGTATAAGAGAAGAAAAGAACCCCAAAACAAAACAAACCCCAAACCCAACCCCCTCATCGCTCATTTTGGAGGAAGAAAAATTACTACTTCTTCCTATTACATATCAGTTCTTTTGATTTTCTTATCTCAATGTAACTCTAAACCTTTTTATACTGTCCCACTAAAAACAACCCCACCTTCCTGTTTTTTTATAACATTTCTAATTATGTATCTCAAATAAAATTGAGTTAGTGGCATGACAAGTGCTAGTACTACAGAAACATGAATGGTCAAAAGGAACCTCATCTGAATGCACTTGAGAGGGAACAGAGTAAGGTTGAAAAGTAATTTAAACCATTTTTAGAACAAGAAGTGCAAGACTGTGAACATCTTTTTTTCCCCTAGAAGAAAGGCCTAGGCAAAACAGAAGTCTTCAAAACCAACAGAGGTCGGACATATTTCAAACTCACTGTAACAAGTGAACCAGAAGTAAGTAAGATTTTTATGTTTACCATATTTGCCTTCATATTTGGAAGGACAGTTCTGGAAATATGAAAGTGATTTTGTCCCATATATGGAGTAATAATAATCTTACAGAAAGGCTAAATCTCATTAGGAGGCTGACAAGACACGGTGACAGCCTTTTATTACTGCAGTGATACTCAAGCTTCTTAATTTAAATTTAGTTTCTAGTTTTGGCTAGACCAGTTGCTCTGTTCAAAACATATACTGCAATCTTGAAATATTTTTTAGCCCTGTATTTTCAGATTACCAATCTGATGGAGTTTGTCTTCTCTAAAAAACACTTCTCCCCGTCTCTTGTGAGAAACGTTCCCCGTAATTCCTTAACAAATACCTAGGCTTTAAGATGTGAAAATATAAATCCCTACCCAACTTCTGATACCAGCAGCTCTAACAACCGCAAGACAGAATTCCCACTAAAGCGATATAAAGCGATGTTTTTTTGGTTCTGTAGCATTTTAACGGGTATTCTCTAAAAAAACTGACTTCTCGTATCTGGAAATCTGTGGTGGACACATCACAAGCAAACATAACAAAGAATGGAAAACTAAAATTAGGAAGAGAGGAAAAAACATGGCATGGCATCTCCAAGACCCAGGACAATCACGTGTCTGATCACATGGGAAAAATCATTGATGCCTGTGATTCAGGTGGTGGTCCTCTCAGCTGAGCTTTAATGGAAGAGAGTACAAGTCCGAAGAACTGCAAATATTGGTCAACTTCATTTATGACAAAATGCTATGCTATCCTATATGTTTCCGTAAATCTCCAGTTTGGAAGCATGTATTTATGAAAGTGATGTTAATGCTACATGCAGTGTAGTTTACAGTACTATGAAGATGAAAAAAAGGAAGAAAATTCAAATATTTACATAAACAAGAAATACCTGCATTCTCAAGTCTTATCTCACTTTTTTTTTTGTAAAAAACAGACTACGTACATTCAATCAAAGTAATTTTTGAGCCTACCAATAAAAACATTTCTCTACAACTCTTCTGGCACTTTCACTCAAAATGAAACTAGGTGCTAGCACTGCGAAACAAAATCCCTTCAATGTATCTTTTGACTGTTTTAAACATCTTCCTTTCCTAAACCTACTGGTCCTAAAGTTAAATATTCCCAAGAAGTTAAATATTTATTTTTGACATCAAAATACCTGTAACTGTGATACTGCCTGTGGAAAAAATCTGTAAGGTAGCTCTGAGAGTTTTTATTCTGTAACACACGGCAGGATGAAGTTCTGGTTCATAACTAGAAAACAAAATAAAAGGTAAAAATGATAGATCTAGAACTGAAAAAGAAAAGCTTAAGAAATATACCAAGAATGTAATTCTTTAAAATCCTACCGTACCTCGCATGAGGTCTGTTATTCTTCGTGAATTCTGGCAATCTGATCTCAAAGGGCATGTTGCACACTGCTAAAACATTCACAACTTTAAAATCTGTGAAAATTACCTTTTCAAAAGAGAGGAAAAAAAGACATTAGAAATTCAGTTTACAGTGAGGCAGATGTATGGGTTGCAAAACAAGTTAAAGAATACTAATTAGAGTATTTAGATGAGATTTCAAAACTAAAACCTTGTGATCGATACATTTCTAATAGGAATCTAAACAATACTTTATGGACTCAGATTGTTTACTTTATCCTTCTATGGTACAGTAACTGTTAAACTAGATACTTCACAGTTGTATTATATGGTTATAGTAGTTTAAGAATGAGACACAGAAATAACTCACATTGCTGTACTAAACACCTCCAAACTGAAAAGAAACTAAATTAAATAGCTCATGAAACATCAAAATAAGCAGAGAAAAAGCTTAAGTTTCATTGTTACAAGAATCTTATGCAATTGAAAACTTCCTTAATGCCTTGTTGATATACACCATTTTTATTAAAGCTAAGAATAAGAAAAAAGGTGAAAATTGTTTTGTTTCAAATCTCCAGTGGCCACTACGGCAAGCTGTTTTTCTACTCCGTTACTTTCTGAAACCCAGCTCAAACTACTGGCTTTCAGTTATTAGATGACAATAAAATAGCCAACAGACAACTCCTAAACTAAACAAATGCACTGCTGAGAAGTCAGTGTTGGCAATATCACTGAATAAACTTTTGTTCTTTTTCTGAGATTGCCTAAACTTAATGTGACCATTCCCCAGTCAAAACTTTTTAGAAGTATACTACCAGTAAGAGAAACTTATCCTTATAAAAGGTCAACTATCAATTTAATCTTCAAAATATATTCTACTTAAACTGCTCGCTTTATTATAAACTTGGTGCATCCACCCTGGAAGCACTGTTTACCTCACTGATTTAATGCTCCGTTCCAACTTTAAGAGGCTGGGTCTAATATATGCATTCATAACAGTAAAAGTGTCTAACTTCTGCTTGGGTCTGATGCAGCATTACCAGGACAGCCTGCCACCACTGCCTTTATGTACTACAATCAAAGGGAGCCTCTCCCTGCCAAAGGACAGCCACTGTGTCTATTTAATTGCCTGTCTGTAAACTGAAACTGTGGGTAAACAGCGCAACGGACTACCAGGAAGTTTTGGAGTACTAAACCATGTCATTTTAAGTAATTCACACTGCTGTTTTTCAACCTTTACTATGACATGCAAGTGGTGTTTTTGACTGGCAATGTTAATCCAAACCCAGAAAAAAAGAGGTGTTTCATGTCCTAAGGATTTTATTTGGCTTATTTCCTGCTATGCAGCCTGGCAGCACAGAATCACCTTTTCCTCCCACTTAAAGAGGCTCAAACTTGCCCTTAACAAGATGGACACGTATCTGCTATTCCATCAGAAACGAGGGAAAATTATGTTCAAATGACAGTTAGGTTTATACTCTTCAGCACTTCTTCTGAATAAATCTTTCAAGATGTTGTAAATTCTATCCAAGAAACGTCTGTGGGTGGTTCATTTATTAAACAAATTTTGTTGTTCATTAGCCAGTGAAGAAGCACTACTCTGAGCTGCCAAACAAAACTCAAATCCACAAAATAAAACAGTTTCTCTTTAACCAGCATCTGGAAAATGTATGCCGACACAAAAGGGGCATCTGAGTGAAAATATTGTTTACTGCTAAATTGTTATGCTCCCTCATTTTTGTTTTTTAGTAAAGCAATGTTGGCAGTCCATTTTTTAAGTCATACAAGTGCTTTTTCATTAAATTACCTGAAAACCTAGTTTCTGTAGACTACGAGCTAATCGTCTGGCACCAAATTTAGCTTCTTCTTCACTATAAAGAAGGAAGAAAAGAATCTAGCATTAACAGAAATAGAGTGTATATTTGCATGCACACATACCACAATAGCTACTCAGACTACAAAAGGAACAGTTAAATCATGTAATGCATGAACCACGATCACATGGACAGCCTTCATTTTATCGTGCTGTATACATTTACATTTTAACTATCTAGATATTCAAATGGAGTTCTTTATGCCCTGTTTGAAGAATACCTTGGCACTCGGCTCCAGCTGATGTTGGAGACATATTTTGATCATACACGACACTAAATACTCTTTAGAGACAAGTATGATCACGGGTAGTCTGGAGTTAACATCCTGAACAATCATCTTCCATTTTGAGACAGAGATCATATACAGAAAGTATGCAAATTTACTATTGTACCTTAACCTTACTCCACAATGCAGACATATCTTAAAGGAATTCAGCTGTTAAGAGTTTAGCGAGTCTCAGATGTATCTGAACTGAGAGTTTGCTTTTGCTTCTTTCCAGTCCCTCACCACTGTATAACTTGATTAAATTCAGGTGGGTTTTTGTGAAATAGTAAGAAATATCCCTCAAAAAAGATCATCCCTTCCCAAGGTTCAAGTTCTGGCTAAAAACATAGACTCCTTAAAGAGTTCTCAAAAGAAATATCTAGGATTTTCTTCATCAAGTAGTTTTCCCTGATGCTCTCACAGAAGGCTGAACTGAGGTTGCCTAAGATTTCAACTCAGTCTCAGGCAGACACTTCACATAGAAAACTTCCTCCCAAACACATAGCTTGGCAAGGATCTACGTGTGATACAGTGCGAGTGAATCCTAACAGTGGCAGACTAATGGTCTCTTGCCATCTTCTTCATTTACAACATTATATTTTACAATACACAAGAATTTACAGCTAGAGAAAGAATCTTTGTGATCTCACCTTGTGGCTCCTGTGCAAATAACTTTTCCTGAGGACCAAATTGTGGCCGTAATCCTAGGCTTCCTAAGCTTCATTAATACTTTCTAAAAAGAAAAATAAAAGTGGAAGAATTGGGAATTAGTGGTAGTTCAATTTCATACTAAAAAAACCCACCAAAAATCAACCAACCAACCAACCCCAACTGTTACACTAATAATCCTTTATTTCTGATAGCCTTGAAGTGTTCCTTCATCTCTTTCAGTAATTAAAAAAATATCAGCTCCCGAGGAGAGCAAAATAAGCACGGAATATCTCAGCCAGTGATTCAGTGTTCACAAAACAGATTAAATGAAGGTATTATCCTCTGAATAAAAAGCTGAAAGCCATGAGTATTGTGCTAGTTTTTTTCTTATTACAGTGACTCCCACATTGCCGACTCCTTATCGGGATATATTTTCTTGACGAAACCATCAACGTTATTACCCTGAGGTGTAAGAGGTCTCATCACACACCTTATACCCAATATTCACATCACTAGCTACAGTCTTCTGAGACAATATTTAGCCCTGCCCCTTACTGTACATTTAGTGTATGACAGACTAAATGCCTATCAAGACAGAAATACAGAAACAAAACTATGTTCTTCTCTATCCACCATACACAGATATCAGACACAAGAATGTTTAGCTTAAGGAACATTCATAAAAACAGATTACTTGAGGTATGTTGAATGTCTTACCCCAACATCACGCTTGTATATCACATTTGCTCCCTCTAATGCGATCTTCCTCAAGTTTAAATGACATCTTGTTCTAAAAACACACACTACATTTGTGATTAAAATGTCCAATGCAACATCACTGTCTGCATCCATTGGGGTGATTTACAGCTCAGTTTTCCCACCAGCTCACCATGAAGATCACATCCTGAGAAAGGAAAATGATGAAATTTAACATACCCAGTAGAAAATTGCCTATTAATGCCATTGTATACATCTGTCCCTTAAATGAGAGAAGAAGCAGAGGTGACTACACTCTGACTCATTTAAGTTAACTGTGTGTGGGGAGGGGGGAGGGGGTGTCTGCATGCTGTATGCTAGAAAGGAGGTTATGCATTTGAAGACATGTTGCCAGACTTAACAGAAATAAAATGTGTATACATATATACATATATTAAAAAAATATATTTAAAACTGTCAGTTACAACTCTTACCAACTATGTTAGAACACAGTAAAGATTACTGAAACTTTTTCCATAGCTCCAGTGGATAATCTTTCCTCAGCTCATTCAAGGATGTCATTAGACACCTCCGGAAAATGCACTTCTCTGACTGCTGAAGTTGATAATTCTGAACAGCCTGACGTTTGTGCTGGAATGGATGAGCCTGCTGAATAACTTTGAACTAACACGGGTTACACAAACTGCAGCCCATAGACAGCCTGCTACCACAGGTTTCCCATCTTCATCCAGCAGTCTTGGCCTATCTCTCCCAATATAATAGCATAATGTGAACAATACAAAATGTCCTGGTGGCAACAACAGCCTGGGCTGAGCCGCAGTGGCCTCTCATCCCCTTCCGCACTGCCCACAGGAACTGCACAGAATGAATGTATTCTACATGGCGAGTAAAAGCGAGTGTTTCTGAGGAAAAGCACGAGTAACTGTGAAGGCACAGAATGGTTGCTCAGTGCGTGCACAGCAAACCTAAGGCAGCCAGGAAGCATCCAGCCTGCCCATGCACACCGAAGGTGACACTCCTAACACACGTCTCAACTGGGGGCGGAGCACCATAAGACAGGGAGTTGGGCTACCGCTCAGCCCAGCCCGAGACCGCCCAACATCCATTCTCTAAGCATACCAAAGCAAGAGAGCGGATATCTCAAATAGATCTCAGGTGAAGTATTTGGGGAAAGGAGAGGGGAAAAGAGCAAGAACATTGGTATACAGTGAAAAGGACTTATATCAAAATACTGTAGTTCATTAAGGAATTTTTCATTGTAGAAGAATGTGAAAATCTTAGTTTTATTCCAGGAGAAGTAGCTTAAGCAGAGCACAGCCTAAGAGATAAGAGGCAATATTATCTTCATCTATTCATCTAAAATTTTAGTAGTATTTAATCCAAAATGAACACAACAGAAAGCAAAGAGCAAAATAAAAGAAAAATAGTCAGATATATGAAATACTCTACATGGTCACTGCCATGGAAGAAGCAGGCGACCGTGCCTCAAGAACAACATCTATAACAGACTGTAATGCATTTCTATCACTGTAAATGTTTGGCCTTACGTTCTATATCAGAAATTTTCAAGATACAAAATTAACATTATTATCATCAGTATTTTCATCTGACTATGACTTCCTAAACATCACGCCATAGTCTCTACTCAAGAACTCACTCAAGGTACATCTTTGACTACAACTCACTGACAATATAGAAGTAATAAGCTACAAAGCAGAGGTGCATAATGTATTGGGTCAACTGCTGTGGTGGTTGCTGCTTCTACCATGCAACTTGTTCCCAGCTGAAAGAAATATTCTGTAATTGCTGGCTTGTCCAATATAAGAAAAGGCAAGATGGGTGATAACAGAAAGGAGATGAAGAAACAGCAAGAGAAAACCAGAAAAACCAAAGGCTATGTGTGTGGGGGAAAGCAGGCAAAGAAGAAGAGAACAAACAGTAACTAATTAGTATTCCCAGATCCTTTTTTTTTTTTTTTTTTTTAAACCAAAAATTATATGAATCCTCAAAGTTAGAAATGACTTATCCCATCTGGTTTTGATGGACTACTACAGATTGGGTTAGCAATTTATGGCACCGGATCCAAAGATAGCACATGTGCAGATTTTGAACGGCATGCAGGCAGGGCCAGCACAGAGCAAGGAGCTGGAACCCGTGGCATCTTCAGAGAGGCATTTGTTTTCCACCCTGGCTCCAACTCCTGGCTCTTGGTGAGTCTACTTACTGGAAGCCAGGAATGACTGCCGTATAAGAAAACAAGATACCTCCAATCAGCGTGTCTCCCAATTATCAGCAAGTTTCTACTGGCATCCTCAATCTCTACATTCTGAAAGAATAACACCGTTATGCATAACACCCTTGAAAGGTTGCTAACCTCTCAGCAAACCATAATACTGTACAATAATGTCCCCATAAAACTCTGATGGCTTGTCTTAAACAGATCTGGGGAGAAGAGAGACACATGCTCATTCAGGACAAAGGAAGAAGTGTTTGAAAGAGGGGAAAATTACAATTTGAAAGGAAAAGATCTATCATTGAAGTGGGATCTACAGGAAAAAAGAACATTAATATGCCGTGGAGCTGTCAGTAAGGATGTTTTCAGCAGTTATGGTGTATCCTGGTTAGAAGCATAATCTACTTGCATAGATTTTAATGGGAGAAAAAATAACAACATTACAGTAATGTGCCCCCATTTTCAGTAGCCATGTCCTGAAAGTTCAAGAAAACAGATATTTAGGGAGGAGCTTTTTAATTTGAAATTTAATTTGAGCTGCAGCTAATATTCTAGACTATGTTTTCTGACATTCAGTTAAAAAGGGACATAATTTGTTATAAAAGCAGTATCTGAATCCAGTGTAAAAATACTGAAAACTGCCTTTATTCTATTGTTAAATTTTTCACTCAAATATTGAGCATTTCAAATATTAATTACCAAGTTTTTTTCTCAATTTGTATTGAGAAAACTCTTTTATTCACTGCTGCTAAATACTGCCCCTGTTCTTTGAGACCCTGAATCTAAGTGTCAACAATTTTGAATACACCCATTCCCATTTAATGTACAAATACAATGTTAACCTCTTCTAAGGCATGGTTTAGAAATACTGGGTAAGCCAAAAAGTTTCTAGACTTGGATACTTCTGTGCAAGCAGTGAGCGAGCATAACCTATTACAACCTCTGCCTTAAGCGTTCCCCTTAATGTCTCACACTGTACTGACAACAAATAAAAAAATCTAGAGAAAAGATGTCTTGCTACCTTTCTTTGGGATGTCTCAAAGAAATCTGAATTCATAGGAACCATGTGAACAGAAGCAAGCTAAATGTTCTAAAAAAATAATACATGCGCTACATAGAAAAAAGAAATCTGAAGAACATGTTTATAAAAAAGGTGTAACAATGTTCTTTTTAAAAAATAATAATAAAAAAGACAGATTATGTTCTTATTATACATATCTCCAGTAGCATGACTAGTTGGAACACGGGAGTCCTAAACAACATCCTCTTTCCCAGTTTTCTCGTCTTGTGCGCTATTGACACACGCTACTGTATCCCTGCTGCGTAGCCCTGACCCATTATGTTATTTCCCAAAACCTGAATTTCTGCATTTCTGTCTCCTATCTGCAAAACGGGGAGAATAATGCTCCCATGCTTCTACAACGACATTTTGAGATCAAGCAACAGCCTTACATATAAGCCTGTTACTATTCCATATTTATGCAGTTATGCTTGCAGAACAGAGGGACTGAGTAGAAACCAAACACCTAGCTCTTTCCAGTTCTGGATCTGCAAATGCCTAAGTCGATTTTATTGAGCTCAGCTTAGGTGGTGTTGATCAGTTTTGCCCAAAGGTTCTCTCATTTGAACCTTAGAATTTTGGCAGCTTAAATCTCATTTCTAAAATTATGTTTTGCCAGTTAATGCTAATTGAATAATAGGCTAAAATTGAAAATAAATCATTTACTTGTCTATATGTGCAGCATTTCTTTTAAATTGTGTACTTCATTCAGCTTTCTCCAGTGTGAGAAACTAGCCAACTTTGATTTCATGTTCTCTTGCACCAGCGTAACACAATCTACCCCGACAGACAAAAAAAGCTTAAATATGTCTCTGTACAAATTTGCATTATTCTATTTTATCAAGGAAATTTTTAAAGTTTGTTCTTTCTTTTCAATGTCGATTTCAGGGATAGCTCTGAAATATTACCCTAAGAAGAAAAAAAAGAGGAAGGGGAAAAAAAAAAGGTAAACAGGTAAAGCATGATAATGAACATAAAAATAAAAACAAAAACAAAAGCTAACTCAAGGACATTTGACACTGTAAAGTTTCTACACTGAAACTACAGAAACTTCCCAGAATAAGAAATACTTTGGAGGAAGGAATGAGCACCCAAGTTCTTAAACAAAGCATTACCCATACATCCCCAGTTAGGACCACGGCCATACTATTTTAGGTACTATATAAACACACATGAAAACAAACACCCCGCACTGAAATCTTAACAAGCTAAAAAAAGCCAGCGCGCTCTGTCTTCAAAAAGTTCCAAACCAAACCAACAACACCACCATCATCAAAGAGAGAGGAAAGGCACTTGGGATGGGGTATATAAACAAAGTATTATTTTAAGCTTATGGCTACCTTCGATTCAAGAAACTCAGGGCTATCAAAGTAGATGGGGGGTATCTAACAACGGTTATGTTACTGTCAGAACAGTTTAACAAACACCTTTTTCACCAGCAGCACAAGTATAAGCAACTTCTACTGGTTATTTTTAACCTTGCTCTAAAGCAGTTCACCAACTGACTGACCCCCCAACAGCCCAGCTGAAGGGATAGCTGTCACTACCGCGCCAGCAGGCATTCATCAACCTATGGCTTGAAAACCATTTTTGAAGACGTTAACATGAACTTCCACGCTGTTTCCATATGAGAACAGAGAATGTACAAAATAAAGCCCATCAGGAACAGGGAGAGAGTCGATCACATCCTCCCACTGAAGGTGCATTTTTTAAAATTTGTGTTCAGCCCGTCAGGAAAGAGGTCCATATGAAAGGCTAGAGGTAAACAGACCTCTGAAATCTGCTTGAATTCTTAGATACAATACAGTCCCGGTGGTAGGTGGATGACTCCCCAGAAGTGAGAGCAAGATAGCTACTACTGTCTGTACAGAAAATCTTCTGATCCAAACAACTTCC